GCCTACCACGAGATATGATGAAATGGGATCGGGTGGTACGCCTACCACGAGATATGATGAAATGGGAGCGGGTGGTACGCCTACCACGAGATATGAGAAATGGGATCGGGTTGCACGCCTACAACGAGATGTGAACTGAAAGTGTAAATTGCCTTTGTTTTCCTTATCTTTGATAGAAGTTAAATCTTTGGTTTCTTGATAATTCTCTTGAGATTCTGTTTTATCTGTTATTTCCCGAAGCATGTTTCCCCTTCTCAGCTTTAATTGTTTGTTCTAGTTTATTTTTCCGCTGCATATACATAAATAACTGCACAGGTTTATCTGGAGTCTGGTCCTAGCCTCGTCACTACCTCGTCGGGGTTAGGCCAGGCACTTACCAGCACATGGGGCCGGTTGTGCTGATGCTACACTCTGCATGTTGTGCAGATACCGGAGCAGTATTGGGACAACAACAGTAGTTTGGGAGCCAGCCTTCAGTCCACAGAGATCACGAGGTAGTCCGCAGGCCCGACATCTCTTCTATCTACTTATATGTACTGTTTTCATTTGTATCCAAGACAGACAGTATTTCTCTTTCTTCAGACATCTGTATGTAGTATTCATAGATAGTCCGTGAATTTTGTGACACCGGTTTCTGGGTAGAGACATATGTTGGCTTTTCGTATCGATTTGGTATTATAATTGTCTAGGTCTTCCGCTATTAATTTACTGTTTACCACCTGTTATTATCAATAGTTAAAAGTGTTAAAAATGAAAGGGGTTAAAAATTTCTAAATTTCGTGGCTTGCCTAGCTTCTACGAGTAGACGCCATCACGACTCCCGAGGGTGGAAAATCCGGGTCGTGACAAGTTGGTATCAGAGCTCTAGGTTACATAGGTCTCACAATTCACGGACAAGCTTAGTAGAGTCTGAGGGATCGGTACGGAGACGTCTGTATTTATCCCCTAGAGCCTACCGAGTTAGGAAAAACTTCAAATTTGTTCTTTCTTGTCGTGCGGTTTGGTTTCTCAATACTAATCGAATTTCTACTCTGTTCTTTCGTAGATGGCGAGAACACGCGCTTCCTCATCTACCGATCAGCAGCCCGAGCCCCTAGCAGCCGCTCCCACGAGGGGCAGAGAGCGAGGCCGAGGTCGTGCTAGAGGCCGAGGCAGGGGCAGAGCTCAGCCCAGGGCAGCAGCACCCGTAGCGGAGCCTCAGGTTGATTTTGATGACGAGGTTCCGGCCCCAGCAGTTTCGGTGGGCCCAGCTCAGGTCCCAGAGGGGTTTATTGCTACCCCAATTCTTCAGGATGCTCTGGTCCGTCTAGTGGGCCTTATGGAGAGTGTCACCCGAGCAGGTCTACTTCCTGTAGCACCAGCCGTCTCTCAGGCTGGAGGAGGAGCCTAGACTCCTGCTACTCGTACCTCGGAGCAGGTAGCTCCCCAGTTTCAGACTCCAGCAGCTCAGCCAGTTGGGGCAGTTCAGCCGGGTGTGGTAGCTCAAACCGGCGATGGTGCAGCTATGTCTGCCGATGCTTTGTGGAGATTGGACATGTTCACCAAGCTCTTCACTACTACTTTCAGTGGTGCATCTACTGAGTATCCCCAGGATTATCTAGACAACTGTCACGAGGTTCTTCGAAACATGGGGATAGTTGAGACCAACGGGGTCGATTTTGCCATATTTCGCTTGTCTGGATCCGCCAAGACTTGGTGGAGAGATTATTGCTTAGCTAGACTAGCAGGATCGCCAGCCTTGACCTGGGGGCAGTTCACACAGCTATTTCTGGAGAATTTTCTCCCTATCACACAGTGAGAGGCCTATCGGAGGCAGTTTGAGCGCCTCCAGCAGGGATCCATGACTGTCACCCAATACGAGACCAGATTTATTGATTTAGCTCGCCATGCTCTTTTTATACCTCCTACTGAGAGGGAGAGAGTGAGACGGTTCATTGATGGACTCATTCAGCCGATTCGTCTTCAGATGGCTAGAGAGGCTGGGAGTGAGATATCCTTCCAGGAGGCGGCCAATGTGGCCGGAGAGTTGAGATGGTTTTATCACAGGGGGGTGGTCACAGGGTAGACAAGAGACCCCGTCGGTCAGGCAGATTCAGTGGTGCCTCGTCTGGAGGCAGGGATTCGTATGATAGAGGCCATCTTCCTAGGGCCTTTTCAATCAGCACTCCAGGTTTCTCACGGCGCTTTGGGTGGCCGTGGTTCTCAGATGCAGTATTCTGATCAGCAGTCCTACAGTGCACCACCAGCTCCTATCAGTGCACCACCGCTTCAGAGTTTCCATGGTCGTCAGCCCCATCAGCCGAGGGCTTGTTTTACTTGTGGCGACACGAGGCACATTGCTAGGTATTGCCCTCGAGCTTCGAGCAGTTCTCCGCATCAGGGTTCCCGTGCTATGGTTCAGGCACCAGGTGTTCCACAGCCCGCCCAGCCAGCTAGAGGTGGGGGTAGAGGTGCTAGAGGTGGAGGTAGAGGTGCTAGAGGTGGTGCTCAGACCGCTAGAGGTGGGGGCCAGCCAGCTGCAGGCTGTCCCAGAGAGGTAGATCAGAGTGGTGGGGCCCAACCCCGATGTTATGCTCTCCTAGCCAGGCCTGAGGCTGAGGCTTCCGATGCAGTCATCACAGGTACTGATCTGGTCTGTGATAGAGATGCTTCAGTGTTATTTGATCCAGAGTCTACATACTCGTATGTGTCATCTTACTTTGCACCGTATCTGGTCATGCCTAGTGATTCTTTGAGTGCTCCTGTTTATGTGTCTACATCGGTGGGTGATTCTATTGTGGTAGATCGAGTTCATCGTTCTTGTATTGTGGTGATTGGGGGCCTTGAGACTCGTGTAGATTTGTTGCTTCTATACATGGTTGATTTCGATGTTATATTGGGGATGGACTGGTTATCACCTTACCACGCTATCTTGGATTGTCATGCCAAGATTGTGACCTTAGCCTTGTCGGGTTTGCCTCGTTTAGAGTGGAGAGGGACTCCTGGTCATTCTACCCGTAGTGTTATTTCTTATGTGAAGGCTCGGCGTATGGTCGAGAAAGGGTGTTTGGCCTATTTGGCCTATGTTCGAGATTCTAGTGCCGAGGTCCCTCCTATTGATTCT